TAAAGCAGCACAGGATGTGAAAATAGAAAAGCTAAAACCCAAGGCATCAAAGGGAAGACTGTATCATCTGCCAGCACCTGCATTTTGTTTTGCAGAGGGAGATTGTTTCCTTCCATGCAGCCAGGCAGCCAAGTCACTTTTGTTCCTATCTCTCACTTGGCTTGCACGTTTGCTGAGAAAGGCCCTGCAGACAGGCAGGCCATTTCACTTACAGTCCTTAGCTCCTCATTTTTGACATATAAAATGTTTTACCTTGCTTAAGAACAACTTGCTCCCCTTCGCGCGGATGTTGATGTGCTGCCAGGACAGGTACTCATCAACCCTTGCCCTTTTCTGCAGGTCAGATGGGTACCAGTGATCAGGAGTCTTGAATTTCTGCACCAGGTACAGGAGGATTGCAATGCTGCCCAGAGAGCAAGACAGACCGGTGAGCTGACCATCTGAGATTAAAGCACCTCATCCTTTGTTTTTTCCCCAAATTTTGCACTGCTGGACGAGCAGCCACACAAACCTGATGGGAGTCAGGTAGAAGTGCAGCAGGGCACAGCACAGGAGAGAGTTTGTGCTGCTGCCTGTGGACCACAATCTAATACAAGTAATTGCCCAGCAAGACAGGAGTGGTCTGCTGGTACAGTTTTGAGCAAATAGAAGCTGCAGAATGAGTTTATATCAAATCTGAGCTTCCTGTTGCCTGGCCATCCAGCAGCAGGTGCTTCATGTGAGATTTCCTGCACTGGTCCACAGCCTCCAGCTGCAGGCAGAGAGCAGGACACCTGGACAGGTATTTAAGCTTAGAAACACTGCCTATAAAGCAGCAAAGCAGCTCCAAGCAGCAGCTTTTTCTGCTATTAATGCTGTTCGAGTTGCTTACGTAAGATAGCCTCTCTTGAAACACAGGTTTGTTATGTGCAGTAGACCAGGAAGGAGGGAGACAGGAACCTGCCTGGACAGGAGTGCCAGCAGTTCACTGGCAGAATCCAAGCACTGGGACAAACAACTCTGTAGCAGGGGGTTGAGCTTATTTGAGCCTCACCTCTCTGCTAAGGTGAAAGAACCATCCCTCATTGCAGGCACCTTCATCAGGACATTCACCTTCCGGAACTCCTCTGTCTTGTGCTGCCCTGAGGAGGAAAATGAGAAGCTTTACTTGGCAGGGATACTCAGGACCTGTTTGTAAACACCTGAGGAGTTTGTGGGGACTGTCTAGCTTCAAGTTCTTGTTTTTGAGTGTACAAACCAAGTCTTGTATCAAGTTTATAAGCAATGAGTAAGTGCTGCAGGGTGAGTAGGGGGGCAGCCCTGTGGTATCAGCTTACTTGCTGATTATTGCCTGCATACCAGACCCACCTGTGCACCAAGGGCAGGATGGTTAGGAGTCCTTCCATACCAACAGCACTTGACAGCTTGGGGCTCTGTCCACTCCCCGTTTGTGCTGGAGGTACCTGTCCTGTACAAACCCAGGGGAGCACCAAGCACCTTGGAGGAAAGGGATCTCACTAACCCTTTCCTCCAAGGAAGGCAGGACACTGAGAAAGCAGATACCTTTTTCTGGAAGATAATGTAATTTATATTCAACTACACTTTCTAAAGTCCACAGATGAACATAAATTCCTGTGATCCCATGTAGAACCATGGGTACTTCTTTACAGATCTTTCAATTAGCTCCTGTGCATCTTGCAATCTTTTGTAAGAGCAAATATGGATTTGAGGTTGCTTTTAAGATATCTTGTAGGTCCTCCCCAAAAGGTAGGCAGAGTGAACCTGACAGGAGAAGATGCTGTGTTCATCTGAGGTCTCAGTGTACTCCATTCTGCCTGAAAGCAGTCCCAGAAGCCTTGTTCTATGTGACTTGTTTGTGACAGCCTTTTCCACCCACTCAATTCAGCCATGCCTGGCTACTCAAACCTCTCTAAAGTGTAACTAACCTTGTACCCCATCCTGCTGTGCGAGCCATCTGAGAACCTGTGTGCCACAGGAGATGCTCTGGAAGCAAATTTAGCTTTTCTGGTACTTGGCAAACTTGATTTGTGACTATTCCCCTGTCACTTGGGTCACAGCCCACCTCCCCTACCGCTCTAAAAAGATGAAGTGTGCAGACTCCAGGTCTTTAGGTGTCCTTTGAATGCCAGGTGATCCCTACCCATTCTCACTCCTTCTACCCCTTCCATTGATACCTGCCACACTGGGGGCTGAGAGCTTTTCTGGGGAATCCCATTTAAGCCACCAGCTCAGTTGTGAGTCTCAGTTCCCCCAGCTTGTCCTTGCAAACTGTGCAGTGTCAGGTACCAGTGCAGTGAGCCTCCCCCACTGTGGCACCCAGTGCAGGCACCTGGAGGGCTTCCCCAGGGCATGGGAGGTGCACCCAAATCACCCATCTTAAATTCACAGGCCAAAAGCAGATTCCTAAGGGGCACAGAGCACTGGGAATCTGTGATTTAATTCCCTTTCCTTCCTCTCATTTCCCCTATCCTTGCATTTCAGTTGTTCCTTTTTCTTTGGTGCTCTCATTCCTTGACAGTCTCCTCTCCTTTGCTCCAGTGTCTCACCACAACAATTAATTTACTGGGAAAGAAGGGCAAGGACACAAGATGAGCCAGCCCCCAGCTACAAACCATTGCAAAAATTTTTGCTATGACACAAGTGGGAGGAAACCCACAGTAAGGAACAACCAACACACAGCTCAGGTGCAGGGGAACACCCAAAGACTCAAGCACAACACGTCTGAGGTTTCTCTCAAGTTGGAGTCTCTTTTGTTCCTTCCTCTATTTCAGCTCCAGGAGACTTCTCATCTTTCATTGTTTTTAAACATTACTTACTGAGGCCTTTTTATGCCCAATGCATTACCTTAATTTCAAATCCATCAGATATCTGGAGAGCTTGAAGGATAGGTTTTACCAGCTTGAATTACAAAGAAAGAAGATACAGACCTTTGGATCTCCTTTGGTGAAAAGACACCTTTGGACAGGTTCCTAACAGTTATCAGTTGGTTTTAACCCAACTAAACCACCTCCCTTCATTTCTCACTGTTCACATTACTGCCAGCTGCACTGTCTCGCTCCACAGCCTTCTCAAGCTGGTCCTCAACCCTCCCAAAATAACCAGCCCACAACTTACTCGACCGAGTGGAGCCCCCAGAGGGGAGCCCTACCCCTGCCCTGCCCTGCCTACACCTGGGGTTTTCTCGGCACGACGAGCTCCCAAGGGGGGCTGCCAAGAGGAGAAGGGCTGCTCTCAGCAACTGCTGCTGCTTACCAGAGCACACATTTTTCTAAACTGAATTCCTGAACAAGAACCACACACCTCGGATGTCCTCGCCCATACACCAATGTCCCATCTCTGCAGCTTTTTGTTTCCCGTCTAAGTGGGGAATGCCCCAGACCTGGCACATCCTGAGCGCTTCTCAGAAAAGCGTCTCTGTTTTTCAGAGAGAAAAACAGAGTGGGGCCGATTTCGAAGATATCACATGCCTCGGCAGCGCAGGCACTGAAATCAGTACTTAAACTGATTGCATTGCAGAATTAGGTATTGTTTTTGGGTAGGCACCAGGGACCCTCTGCAGCAGGAGGGCCACCCCACCCTCCCTCAGCACCTCACACTGATGGGGGCGGTGAGCAACCCTTTGCTTCCACCCGCGGGCTGCAACCCAGCACCCCCGGGAGCGGCCAAAGAGCCGGGGAGCAGCGGGACTCCCGCAAAGCCGGGCTGGGACCCTGGGACTCCCGCAAATCCCGGGCTGGGACCCTGGGACTCCTGCAAATCCCGGGCTGGGACCCTGGACACCCGAAAATCCCAGGCTGGGGCCCTGGGAGTCCCGCAAATCCCGGGCTGGGACCCTGAGACTCCCGCAAAGCCGGGCTGGGACCCTGGGACACAGGGTCGCCCCCGCCACCCCCGGCCCCGCTCACCCTTGGGCAGCTGCACCCGCTTGAACTCGAAGGGGATGTTGTTGCTGCGGGCGAAGATGTAGAGCGCCCGGCAGGGCTGCGAGAGCAGGTCCAGGTACAGCTCCAGCCCCATCCTGCCGCTGTCGCTGTCGCTGCCGCCCAGGGCCGGCGCTGTTAAAGCCGTCCCGCCGGCACCGGGCCCGCCCCGGCCGGGGCGGAGCGGCAGCGCCCCGGCCCCCGGGGTGCCGCACCCACGGACACGGCCCGTGGCACCGCGGGTCAAAGTGCCAGCTGGGCTCTGCCGCCCCACAGCCCCAGCTGGGCTCTGCCGCCCCACAGCCCCAGCTGGGCTCTGCCGCCCCACAGCCGCTGGCACATGGGCTTGTCCCGATAACTGCCCGTAACGATAAAGAAACCACAGCCCGGCTGAGGGGATGTGAGAGGCAGATCCTGGTTTTGCCCGTGGCAGCTCACAGCTCTTGCACGAGAGGACTTCCCATTCCTGTGACTCCAGCAGCTGCCCAGACACCCGTGCTGTGGAAAAACAGCTGGAGAGCAAGCACTCACAGCAGAACACATACTGCTTCATTGCTATGGAACAACCTTGTGCTCCTATCTTCACAAGATTCAACCACCATTCCCAAACCTCAGTTCTTCAAGATTCCCAGCTTTCAATAATTTACTAATGCTGGTGTACATTTATTCAGCTTTGCAAAACAGAAAGCCAGAGATGGAGCCATTCCTGCTGAAGGAAAAGCAACCCTTGGAGAGTAGTTGCAGGCCACAGCTACATGGCAGCTCTAAGCCTTCTGCCAGGCCAGCTAAAAATACCATGGCACGTGTCAAATACAGACTTATGGCTTGCAGTGACACCAGCTGGCTCCAGGACATTCATATTAGACATCAGACATTTCAGTCTGCATTAACCTCAATCTACACTTAATAATACCTGTAAGGTAACAACCTTTGGTACAGAACATTGGAGGGAAACAACACAGGCAAGAAAAGGACAAGGTACAGGACTGTAACAGTGAAAAGTCCTTCATGCAATATCTTCATCCCTAATCATAAAATACTGTGAGTTGGAAGGGACCCACAAAGATCATAAAGTCCAAATCCTGAGCCCAGGAATCTTTATTCAACAGTTTTAAAAATATATACAATATTTATTTAATATTTACTTAGAAGTTGGAGTCACTGCACATAGAGCAGCTCTTCAAACATATTTCTGCTACAGGCACTGCACAGGTGTTTATGCATCTGCAGAGAGACAGAACCATTGTCCCAGGGCAGCAGTGAGGGCCCAGCCCCCACCACTGGAGAGCAGCAGCTCCATCAGGCCACGCTCAAGAGCAATTCTACACGTGCCAGCAGGGTACGATGCAAAGTCCTCTTCAAGACAACCTGCATCTCAAAATTTATCTTTTTTTTTTTTTTTTTTTTAAACCAGTAATTGAACCCTGTTCACAGCATCCTTGAAAGAGGAATAAGGCCTGCAATAGCTGGACTGTAGATATGATAAGGTTGTGGACCCAAGCACTGAGGGCCCATGACTCAGTGCTGCTGTGCTGGGGAGCAGCCCACGGCCTGTCCCACGCAGCAGCTCCAGCCACATCAGCCATCTCAGCTTCCACTTGCTCAGGCTCGCTTCTGCGCTCGCTCGTCCTGTTCAAAATTAAAGTTGAGAAGGTGGCTGGAGATGCCCCCGTGTCCCAGTCACACAGAAGGGACTTCAGGGAGGAATAGGACAATTTAATAAACCTTTCTGTCCCAGTTCTCAAACATTCATAGTCTACAACTCAAAATCATCATTTTTTCGGGGTCAGGTATTTATGTGTTCTCAGATTAGAGAGCAGAACACTTGCCCAAATCATGCAGCACAAAGTCTATTAAGGATCCCTAGTCCACCCATCTGGCAAGGTAAATGCTACCCTGCTTTTGTCTCAAAGTTCTCAACTTCACACTGGTGTATAAAAAAGGGCCTGCAGATAGCTGTACATTAGTCTTAAACTCTGTAATGACAAAAGGTTTAATCTCTGCATTTTGCTTGCAGTCCTCTGGGTAGCTGTCAAAACCCCAGCTACAGAGGTAAAGAGAAGGGCAGAATAGAAAAACCCACCAAAAATCAGATTTGTTTTGGTTGAAAAAGGCCATTAAGACCATTGAATCCAAGCGTTTACCTGACACTGCCAAACCCATCACTAAATCACATCCCCAACTGCCACACCCACACATCTTTTAAACCCCTCCAGGAATGCTGCCTAACTTTGACAGAAAGCCTTTCTGAGTATTCCATAACAATGCACCCACCAATGCTGCCTTCACCAAAGCTGAATTGGTACTATTTTAGGTGAAGGAAAGGATCCTGGACTCTAACACTTGTGCTAAGCACGAATTGCATTAAAAAAATCAAACTGCAACTCGCACAGTTTATTTTCTTCCCCATTTCAATTACCTTGACTGTCTTCTCGAGCTTGCAGAGAGCTCTCTCATACTGCTGCACCATTGGCTTCAATGAGTTGCCCTTCACTGGGTGTTTCTTTATATCCTGGATGCCAGCATCCCTCAGCATCCGCAGGAACCGCCGCTCCTGCACAAAACAGCCACTGGAGATGAGACAGCCCCTGCCCAGCAGCTAGAAATGAGCACATTTGGGAACATGCTGCTTTGTCAGGAAACAACTGAAGTTTGCAAGCACAAAGCTCAGCTGACTGGAAAAGATGGGAAGTAGTATGAACTTTACGATCCTTATGCCCCTGCATGCATCCTTATCAAACGAATCCCACAACAAAGACATACCTGAATTCTAAGGACCAAGCTGAAAGCAACACCTGCTTCTCCTGCACGAGCTGTTCTTCCAACCCTGAAAACAGAGAAGCTTCAAGTCAGTTTAGCCCCATAAGTCACTGCCATTATCAACTCCAAGATTCTGATGCTGAAATTCTCCACTTTTAAGAAAGTCTGATTCCAAGCAATGCTAGGCTTATTTTTTGCTAAAAAGCCATTTGCATATTAAAGTAAAAAGAAAAGCTAAAAGCCCTTTTAAGTGCATGTCACCTTTGCTAAATACTTCAAAACAAACCAAGTTCAGACATCCTCCTCTTGCTCCTGTTGTCTCACCGGTGAATGTAGGTCCTGATGAACTGTGGTGCATCATAGTTTATCACATAATTCACTCCTTTAACATCAATCCCTCGGGCTGTGGCATCTGTGCTGATTAACCTGTTTGTAGATGGATAAATAGTAATTTTCAGGTGACATCTCAGGCACTACACACACAAATAAACCACCAGTGAACACAGCACAATTCTTGCTAATCTGTTCAAACTGGACAGTCAGCCTCTGCCTCTCAGGCTGCAGCAGCACTGCAAGTCACCCCTTACTGCCACTGGCCTTGTTAGCTGCCCACAGACCTCCAAGCACCACTACAGGCTTGTCACCCTCTGCTGAGCATGAAAAGTTACTGGGTGTTTCCAGGTTCTCCAAGCATGTCGGACACCTCCCAGCTCATACAAATCTCTAAGGAATCTGAACGTTGCATACAAGCACAGAACACACAAATAGTGAGGTGAGAAATTCCAGTAGTCAAGGATGAATTTGTATGCCAGGTTTGGATAAAAAGAACACCCAGAAAATAAGTTTTTACCTCTTCCTCAGAGATACTGCACAGATGTAATCTCATATAGCTACCACAACCACAGTGCAAATCACACACATGGGCAGAAGCAGACCTGTATGCCAGTCTGAGCAGGGATTGCTTTGGTAGGAAGCTGTAACACTAAACACAGTTTCAGCACCAACATGCATTTCCACCTTACAAGCACCAGATGCCCAGCACAAACATTAAACTCCAGATTTGCAAGCCTGTGTGTTTTGGGCAGCTCTATGAACACACATTGTATTTATTTTTGTTATAAAACGACATGTAGAAATTCAGACTGCAGCTAGATTAGAACAGGCTGAGTTACATGAAGGATAAACAATTCAAAGCCACAAGCCCAAGTCTCACATCCCTGCTGCAACAGACTCCTGCATGTTTTACATGACCCCAAGTAACTGTGTCCCTTGCTTTGTTTAGCTTTTTACCCTGCAAACAGCCTGTGCTGGAAAACATACAGGAAACTAGTTTAAGATGCTCACAGTTGTATTTTCCCTTGATCAAACTCCTTCATGGTTCTCTTTCTCTCATTTGGAGTTAACCGAGAAGAAAACTCTGCCACCGTGACTCCACCAAAGGCTTGAACCAGCAGGAACAACCTGCAGGTAAATGAGAAACTGTCACTCCTTTATCTCTGTCAGATCCCTTGACAGATACCCACGGGAGTGATCTCATTCATGCTTACCTGTGAGAGGCTTCCCTGGAGTTGGTGAAGCACAACACGCGGGTGAATTTCATTTTCAGCATGAAATACAAGAGGAGCAAGGGCTTGGAATTCAGGTCACAAGGCACGTAACATTGCTGCAGTCAACAGGGAAGGAGTTCAGAGAGAAGAATCACTTCTTGCCAAGACTACCTTCCCTGAAACCCACTGCCTGTCCATGACCTACACTGGCCTGGATGTTTCATAGATGACTAATAGCAGCAAAACCAGAGCCCATACCATCCCCTGCAGAATAAACAGGCTGGCAGGATACAACACGAGTGGAGACAGGAGACCTGCGTTGTTCCAATGCTCTCACACCTCCACAGCAAATAACAACATGCACTGCCTTCCTGCCTACAGGCTGGCCTGTGTACACGTGTCTTGAAATGAATGTCAGACATATGGACAATGGATAGGTGCTACTACATCACTGTGACTTCCTAGTTCCACTCCCCATTGCAGATAAACTTAATTCCACATGAAGACAGATTAATTTAAAAAATAATCAAGTCTTAACCAAATGAACATTAAGTAATGAGAAAACAAATGTGCAAAGGTACAGCTCTCTGGGTCATAAATACTCCCAAAGGCACTTTTGCAAGGAAACACAGGGAAGACACACTTGTTTTAGGGTAAAACCACAGTTAGTTCAGAATTAAGCAAATCTTCAAGTGTAACTTATTCAAAATAATTCACATCTTACCGAGAGCCCCTCTGGGAGTGTGTATTTATTACTGGTATTTGGTTCAGTTTCTGCTCCATCTCTGTTTTTCTCGGAATACACAGATGTGAAGAGACGAGGCTGGAATAAATCCAGCTGCTGCAATTTCTCTGGATCCTGGGTCAGTGTGGCTGAAAACAGCAGTTTCTGTAAGGGTATCTGAGGAGAGCAGGAACTGAAAGAAACAGCACACAGAAACTGGGCTTTGAGGATGGGGCAAAGGTGTTTCACCCCTAGTGCCTTCACATGATGTAAGGGAAGCAATCAATGCCTATTGATGCTCTTTTCCTGCCCTGGGCCTTTCCTGTAGGTTCTTCTCCACCCTTGTTTTATGTTGGAGTTCACAGACAGAACTGATGAGCATTCTCAGTCAAGTCCACAACTCCAGCACATCACTCCTGCACTAGTCCCTGCAGCCTGGTTACCCATGTTCTCATTTTAGTCATGTCCTTCCTTGGCTGTTCATCTCAGTTCCTGACACATCTCTGCCACTGCTGTACAAAAACAACAGCTGCAGATAGTTAATTGCAGGAGTTCTCCTCCAAATCCATTACTCAGCTTTGCCAGAAAGCATTACTATAGTTACTGTGCAAATGGATCACAGATTTGCAATATTTGTGCTTTCTTTTGATGCTCCTTTAGTCTACATAAGGAAAGCCTGGAGAGCACAATACTTAGTCTGAAGGACGTCTCTGGCATCAGCTGTTCACTGCCTTGTTTTGGTAGGCATTTCTCAGAGGAATGAAGCTTTGAGACTCTGCCTGGCAGTGTACAGTGGAGCAGGGCAGTGACATCCAAGTGCTGGTGTTCATACTATCAGTTCAAAGAAATGCACTCTGCAACTTACCTGGCTGCTGTTAAAGGCCCTGGTTTGGTCCTCTGAAAAAGTGTGTTGGAGCCAGAGCCATTCTCTCCTTGGAATGCAGCTTTGACAATTTGGTTCAGACAGTTCTGGTGCATGTCATCAATCATACGGTCAGCTTCATCCACGATCTGAATTCACAAGGATGAAAACCACCACTTGTTAAATACTGGCAGCTTTTGTTTTCCTTTGTATCTGTAACAGTGAGCCAGAAGGTAAGATAATGGAAGCTTCTAGCCAACAGAATTGCTTTCCTTGCCCATCCTTACTCTGAGTTTGCAAGAGCCTAAGAGAGAAGGGGAAGTGGGTGGATGCTTGGGTGTCACGAGTTGGCATCAAACATCTCATCTTGTGACTGCTCCCTCCACAATCTGGAGTGCAGACAGGCCCACACAACAGCTCCAACAGAGAGGTATTTATGTTCCACACAAGAAGCAAGCAGGAATTACTGCTGTAGCAGACACTGCACTCAGATGGGAGAGCTGTGGTGACTCACCAGGAAGCGAAGCTGTGTCAGGCTGAAGCCTGGGGTCTGGTTAATGTGATCCGTGAGCCTCCCTGGCGTGGCCACCACAATGTCAGCCAGGCTGCAGTAGCCTGTCACTCTGAAAGGACAAGCAGCCCATCAGTAAGCCTCTCTCCTCACAGTAAAGCCTGTAGCAGAAACTTTAAGAAGCAGACCTTAAGGTTTTCCTACCACTCAATTAACTGAGGAGTAACAAAATTCACATATGGACTTGACACTGGAGAGCATGCAGGGGCAGTGGTGGACACCAAACACCAGTCTCCACTGTGCTGCCTTATTTTAACAGAAAGTGTCACTCCTCATTGCTCTTCAAAAAAGTTTAATTGCAGAAAAACCCCACACAGTCATATGTACCCATGGGCACAAGGTAAACATTTGCATTCTGAGCATTTGCTGCTGAAGAACCCCAAAAATCCAGTGAAACATTACAATCACAGAACAGGGATAGCAACAAGCACTGTGACAAAGACAAAACCACCAGAGTCCAGCATATGAACCCATTATCCAAAACCATGATAGTATAATGCTGTGCTGCAATAATCCATATCTTGACCCGACCTTAATGACATTAATTAGCATGCAATCGCTATAAACTTTGTCAAAATACCTTTTCACCTACTTTTTCTGGACAAGCATCTCCTGTTCCTTTGCAAAAGATTTCTGGCCAGTAATCAAAACGACCTTCAGACCTGTCCCGTCAGTGTAAATGTTGAACACTTTACTCACCTGCAGAGATTAAGAGGCTTTGTCAGCTGCCACAGCATCAGCTGCAGGAAGTACCTTCCATTCCATGAGCAGCACCAAACCCTCTGGCCTGCTCCACAGAACAGCCAAGCACAGGCTGCAGCAGCCTGTCCCTCAGCCCAGCTCTGCCAGCCACGGTGAGGAGCCACATACCTGTTGTGCCAGTTCTTTGGTGGGCAGAACAACCAGGGCTCGTACGTGGCAAACCACTCGATCTAACAGAACCTGCCAAAGCAGAGGCCCAGTGAGTCCCTGACAGAACAGGGGGAACAGGATTCTTGGGCCTAACCTAACGAGAGAAGATGGGCTTGACACATTCTCACAGTTTTATGTTTCTGTTTTTCTCCCTCCACCCTCCCAACTCCTCATGCTGTGCCTGCTGTCTGAGAAAAGGAGTGGGAAGCTGACAAGAAGCTCCCTCAGACAGCTCTGAGCTGAAAATCTGCTGCCTTATGTTCACAAATTCCTTGGCTTTTCGACATGAAGTTCAGGTTTTGCCTGAACAAAAGCAACACCAGCATTTCTCCAGAGACACTTCCCTGAGGATGGACTCACCTGTACAACGGGGATGACAAAGGACAGGGTCTTGCCGCTGCCCGTGGGTGCTGAGACACAGATGTCCCTGGGGCGGTACCCGCCCCGGCCCTGCAGGTACCCACCGGCTGCACTCCCGACAATGGCAGGGATCACCTCTGCCTGGACTGAGCAAAACCAGAAACAAACACAAGCTGCATGCTTCAACTCACCAAGAACGGGAAATGTTCTATAAAAGCACGACTGAAATGAGAAAATGGGTGCTGGCCTCCCAGCACAACCCTGACAGGCCTCAGGCACAGCCCAAGTCTCCAGGACTAAGGTCACCCTCTGTCCTTGTCCTTGCATTCAGCTGTCCTTTCTTCTTACTTAAGAACTGGCATTTATTGTATCTGTTTGCAAAACTGGCAAAATAACAGAAAACAAACAGACTTCTTTTTTTGTTTGGATATTTTTCTGCTGCTTTAATGAGCTGAATGAGCTCCCAGAAAGCTCTGATCAGCAGCAGAGACAGCGCAAAGTAAGAAGATAAAGCACAAGCTTCCACAAGGACAAAAAGTGTGAGGACACAAGTAAGACTTCCCTCTTTGGGCAGCTCTGAGCCATCCCTCCAAGCTGTATTTATGAATAGGTAACAGACTTTTACTCAGCCCAGACAAAGCTTTGAGAAAGAAGGGTTAAATCTCCTACCATCCCTTTCATGCACTACATTTTGTCCTGTATTTTACTTCACTGCCTGCACAGAGCACACAGCACCAGACTGCAGCAACTCTGTAAGTCCCTTTAGAAAGAAACAAAAGCACCACCAAGGCACCTGGGAAAAAGGAGTGGATTCCATTCATGTGCAGCTTTCTCAGCAGCCGGGGATGGATGCCTGGCACGGCTGTGACTGGACACAGGTTGTCCCTGATGCGCTGCTGCACCCGCCTGGGCTCTGCAAGCCACTGGGGCAAGAAGGGCTGCACCTGAGGGGAAGGAGAACGTGGCAACACCACACGTGAAACAATCTTGTAAGAAGCACTCTTTTCCTATCCACCATCAAAGTTCAGCCAAGCTGTTTACCTTCTGCACTGGCTTTGCTTCGTAGTCCCCGAGAATCATCACACTGGAGGGGGCACCAGTGCCCCCTGAGGCTGCTAAGGGCAGCTCCTCCTCTGCAGTTTTATTTCCTTCACCTTCTTCACTGCTCTCTTTATTCCCTGTTTCATCTCCTTGTGTTTCCTCGTCTGTCTTCCTCCTTTTATTAGGCTTCTTTTTAAAGTTGTTTCTGCTGTCCTGCTGCTTGATGTCTTCTTCAGAATCTGCAATTTGGGTAACAGCAATACAAAGCTACAGGTCAGAGCACAGCACAGAAAAGGGATCTGGCAACGTTACAACACAGGACTTAAGCAACAACTTGTAAGCTCTTTTTTTCCTACAGCCAAGTGCAGAAGTCAAACATTTCTTTGTTGGTATAGACACAATAAGACTGAGGTGATGTGATGTGCTTCCCTCCTGCCCTTACAGTAAACAGGTCCTCAAAGTTCACAGTATGGGGCCTTCCTTGAAAAATAAAGAGATGAAAACAAAATCAGGTAAACTGGGGAAGGTACTCAAAGAGGAACTCATGTTCACTTTTCTGTGGAAACTGCCAACCACAATGAACTGAAATCCTACAGCCTCACTTTATCCTCACCTGTTTCAGTCCTCTCTCGCTGCACTTCCGGTTTTCTTCTATTTGCTTTCTTCTTCTTTGTGGGGCTGCTGCCATCTGCTGCCTCCTCAGTACCAGCCCTTTCTTCCGAAGAGCTGCGGGGCTGTTTTGTCTTTAGCTTCTTCTGTCTCTGCGCACCGGGCTGCTCCTCCCTGTCCCTCTTCCCCTTTCGTTCTCCGGGCTCCCCCCCGGGGCTCAGCCCCGCGCCCCCGGGGCCTTCCCTTCCCTGCGGCGGCGCCTCTCGCTGCTTCTTCTGCTGCCGGGCCCTCGCCTGGTGCTGCAGCCGCTCCAGCAGGACCCGCGCCCGGCCCTCCGCCTCCTCCTCCTGCTCGTCCTCCTCGCCGTACCTGGAACAGCCACGCAAACCTCCTCAGGCGCCAGCCAGCCGCCCGCACCGACCTGCGGACACGCACCCCGGGCCCGAGCCCGGGCTGAGGCAGCCCCGGGGCAGGGGCACGCTCCGGGGGTAGGAGGAGAGCGGGTGCGGGGAGCGGGGCGGGAGCGGGGAGGAGAGCAGGGAGCAGAAGGGAGCGGGCCCGTGCCCGCCGTACCTGCGGATGCAGAACAGCGCCATGGCCACGCCGCGCCGCGCGGGCGCACACGGATGACGTCAGCGCGCCCCACGAGGGAAGCCGCCAGCAGGCGCGTGGCGGGAGCGCCCCCTGCCGGCCGGAGGTGGAATGGCGGGGGGGGGGCGGCAGCTCCGCGCGCGGGCCCAGCGGGGCCTGAGGGGAGGGCGGGAAAGAGCTGAGGGAGGGACGGCAGCGGCAGCGCCGGGAGCCCCGGGCGGGACAGGGCACAGCACCGGTGAGGGACGGGCTGGGAAAGGGCACAACATCAGTGCGGGACACAGCACAGCACCGGTGAGGGACGGGCTGGGAAAGGGCACAACATCAGTGCGGGACAGGGCACAGCACCGGTGAGGGACGGGCTGGGAAAGGGCACAACATCAGTGCGGGACAGGGCACAGCACCGGTGAGGGAGGGGCTGGGAAAGGGCACAACATCAGTGTGGGACACAGCACAGCACCGGTGAGGGACGGGCTGAGAGAGAGAGCACAGCACCTGTGAGGGACAGGGCACAGCATGGGACAGGCTGGCACAGCATCAGTGTGGGACAGATCACAGCACCAGCGACGAATGGGCTGGAAAAGGGACCAGCCCAGCGAGGGATGGGCTGGCACAGCGTGGGACAGGTCACGGCACCAGCGAGGCACAGGCTGGCAGAGCACACTGCAGCTCCCCACAGTGCTGCAGGCCCCGCAGAGCTCCCACGGCACTGAGGGCCATCCCCGCTGCCTGGAGCGGGCTGTGTAGCAATGTGGGTAACAGCATTTCCCCTCAGCGAGCAAAAGCACTCCTTCCGTGCTTGTCTGGCCACTCACAGGTGGCACATCCTCAGAGGAAAGCTGCCCTGAAGCAGCAGGTACAGGACTGGTAAAAGGACTGCAACAACGGCAGACACAACCCAAAAACAAACCTCTTTCCCTCCTGCCCAGAGCAACACGCCGCCCTGAACACACCTAAAGCAAGGTAAAAATCACTGGAGAGCTGTGAGGAACCAAGCCCAGGCACCACCACCACAGTGTGAAATACTGTGCCTAAGAAACACAGGCAAACCCAAAACATTCCTTTTGTTTGCTTTAGGATCAGAGTGGAACAGACATGTTGGCAATTGCCCAACTCCATCCCCAACCTGCCAAAGCCTACACCACACAGCTTACTTCTAAATCTTTATTTGTTTTCTACACAGAGAAAACAGAGGAATGTTGAAGCAGCAATATTTAAACACACTAGCAAGGAGCCATCAATCTGTGAGAGTGCACAAAGTGCAACACGGGGCCATTTGTGCTGTGGTCTCTGCTACGGGGCAGGGCGAGGGGAGGTCCAGGAAAGCCTCTTCATTCAGACGGGAGAGCTCTACGCAAAGGTGGAGCCGTTCCAGCCCACGTTGGCAGCGTTCATGTCGAAGTAGTTGATGTAGACCCTGCAGAAGAGGTACAGGAGGAAATAACAACAACCTGATTAACTCATTTACAGAAGCTGGGACAACACAGCAGGGGACAGTGCTTCCCATTCTTCTGCTTATAAAAACATCAAGCTTCATCTTTACCAAAAATCTGGTGGAACCTCCAAACAGCCTCAATATTTCTCAGTCCTCAGATTTGTACTTTTATTCTTCTGCAGTCAGGGATTGACCAGACACCAGACAGACTGTTTAGCAGCCTGTCAAGAATTTCCGGAGATCAGCCCCTTTTGTTTCTGAGGCAGCAGTCCCTCACACAGACTGGCAGCCTCGGGAGTTAAGCATGCCCTCAGGCCTGGCTCTGCGTGTGTCTCCCTTCAACCCTGATGGCACCAATTTGTCCCATCCTTCACAGCTGCACACAGACACTGCTGAACTCTGCAGCCTGCAGGGGAGCTGCTCACAGCCTGCTGCCTCTTTCTTCTGTCTCTCAGCTCCAGCCTGGTACTGCTCCTTGCTCGTGCTTTCAGCCTTGCTTCCCCAGAGGACAAGACATCACACCTCAGAGGCAAAAGACACACTGGGCAGCTTGTCAGTGCCGTGGTGTTTTTCCCTACTCTCAGAGCAGAAAGCAATTGAACAGAGGACTGTCCAGGGAAAGAGGCAGGCACTGAATTCTTACGTGGACATGAAAGTGCTGCAAGCAATCACTTGGTATTTTCCAGAACACATGGACTTATTCCTGGCTTTTTCAATTTTTAAATAGACTTTTCAAAGCGGTTTCAGAAAGCCAGATAAATATGGTTAAACTGTGTCCCAGCCTTACCTGTCTGCAGATACGTGCAAGTGCTTCGAGATCAGATCACACAGCATCTTGGTGTAAGTCTTGTTCTGCTGCCCTCCTATTTTGCCGATGCTGTAGAGGCTGCAGAGCGCGCAGGGATCAGTGGAGCCCCCGAAGGACATCATCTGGTCAGGTATGATGTGCACAGCTATGTACTGCGGGAGGGAGGGAAACACTCCGTTACAGGCTGTCTGAACTGCCCTCTCCTGACGAAAATTTGCTTTAGGTACCAACTATAAACAGAGCAGCCGAACTGGGGTCAGGCAGCTCTTCAGTGCTGGCCCCCGCGCACTTCCCAGGCTCAGGGGAGGCTCATGCCCGGCAGCCCCCAGGGAGGGCACGGCCCTGGGGCTGCGGGGACCCTCGGCCCGGCTCTCAGCTTTAGGAGCACGGTTATGTGCGCACAAAGCCGCCGGCGAGGCAGGCACTCCTGCCCGCCACAGCCGCGCCACCGCGCGGGGCGGAGCGAGATAAAGGCCCAAGAACTGTGCCTGCGTGCCAGGGCTCACATCCCCAAATCTCGGACCTGCCGGAGAGCCGGGCAGCGATTCGGTCTTATCCGACTCCGGCTCCCGGGATCTGCGGTCTGGCCCAGGAGGGGCCGTGTGGGATGGCTGAGCCGGCAGGAGCTGCCCGGGGCGCTCGGTCTCTCCGAGCCTCTGCCCGGGTGCGTCCGTGCCACTGCGCAGCTCCGCTGCCCCCATGGCGACCGCCGGCACAGGCGCAGCACATCCCCGGCTACGTGAGCGCCGCGCTCCTGCAGGCCCGGCTGCTGCTCCAGGCAGGGGCCGGCCATCGGGAGACTCGGCGCCGCGGGGTGGAACGGGCACCAACTCCTTCCTCCGGAGCAGCGGGGCCGCCGCCGCGCCGTGCCGCAGCTGCTCCTCGGCGGCCGCGGCCCGCCCGCCCCCGGGCCCCAGGGGAGCGGAGATGCCCCCGGGCCCGAGGGAGCGGAGATGCCCCCGGGCCGCTCCGCCGCCGCCCCTCCCGCCGGGCCCGCCGCGCACGTGCTCGCCCCGCCGCCCGCCCTCACCTGCGCGGGTTTGCCAGTGGCCTTGGCCAGCTGCTGGGTGAGGTCGCCCAACAGGCTGTCGGGCACGGCATCCTTGCAGACATTGGTGTAGATGGCGAACATGGGCATGGTGGCGGCGCTGGGGGCGGCGGGGCCGGCGACACAAGCCTAACCGAACGGCGGGACCAGCACAGTGCAGCGGGGAGGCGTCAGCGGCGCTTTTAGCGCTCGGGGCCGCCCCGGACGTAAAGCGGCCCCGCCCGGCAGGGAGGGGAGGGAGCGGGGCGGGGACACACGCTCACGCCGGCCCCGCGGTCTGCAGCCCGCTGCGGCGTGCTGACCCCTGCTGCGGCCGGCTCTGGACCGGGGGTCTCCCCCGCTCCGCCGTTATTTCTTGGCTTTTTTACTGCCACAGAACGTTCTCTGAGGGTTTGTTGCAGGCTCCTTCCTGGAACGGAGTTCTGGAGCACTCCTTTCGGGCGCTCTGGGCAGCTCATGCATAACCTGATACCAGGGCATGTGATGGTACCGCTGTGGCACTCCCACTGGTTTCTGCGGGATCAGGGCCAGAGAGGGATATAGGCCCCAGCTTGGCAGTTGCACAAAGGGGTACTTGCTCTGACTCCGATAATTTTTTTCTTTTGCAAAATAAAGTAACATTTGTAGCGATTTTGCTTTAACTGTGAAACAGAAACGTCTGTCTTGCTGCCATATAAATCATTCTCTAATGTATTTCAGTCAAATTAAAAATTGCCTATTGTTCCTCAGCCTCCCCATTTTCACATCATATTTTTCTCCTGGAAAGGGGCAGAAGTGAATTTTGTTTTGCTTAGGAACGAGCTGGTGCGTGCCTGTTGGAGGTGAGAGGCGGCAGAGCCGAGCTGCGCTGTGTGATGCGATGCACGTAGGCTGCCAGGGCACGGCTCCCCACCCTGGCTCTTGCCTGCCCCGACGGCGGCAGCGCTGCTCTGCTCACAAAATGACTCACAGGAAGGCTAAAGAGGATCAGGCCCGGAGCCCTCTCCGCCCAGACATTGCGCACACAGCAGTCGTGCACTGCTGCTGCTAGAAAGCTTGCCCACACATACGTATTACAGATGTGGGCACTCATAGCCCGGAATGAGGAGAGAGGGACGGTGTCATACGGGAGTGCATGGGAGTGACACCGGTTATAGTGCTGAGAACTGGAGCACTTCCTATTCTAGTGATTAGCAGTGCTTAAGAGCAGCCACTAAGAACTGATTAAGTTTCCTCCCCTTGATATCCTCAGCTCCCTGCCATTGCATAGTCCCACTTATTCCTCTCACCTTCCTGCCTCCTAGGTTTGTTGTGTGGAGGTGGGGTGGGGATTCTGCCTGTGTAGGGAGAAAAGCTTGAGAGCAACATCACCACTGGTGTGCTTGCCCTGTGGCCTGCCAGGCCCACAGCAGCAGCCCCGGGCTATGCTGTCACTCAGTGGAGGGACATCTGCAATTTCATTCTCTTTTACCCCCCTGACTAAGAAAGAAGCTTTCACCAAAGCAGCTTCCATTTGTTATCCCAACAAAGCATTTTTGTTGTTTGAGGTGCAGGTCTGTATTTAAAGTCCGTGGCTGCAAAGCAAAGCTGTGGTAGGGACACAATGGGATGTTAACAATAGAGTTCAGAACAGGGGTGTGAGAAGGTTTGCTTTTCCAGAAAAAACTCACAATACACTTAACTACAGAATTTCAGAAAACATCTCTACTCAATCTTTTATTTTACTTTGTAAGCAAATGATCTTATCTGACCAAGGGCTTAAATAATAAATATTTGTATGCAAATCTTCTTTTCATAATTAATTCACTACTTCAGTCCCTAGGAATTACTGTGGCTTGCTGTGCCTCTGCCTCTTTCTGAGCTGTGCTCTAATCTTTGCTGTCACTACAAATTGCTCAATGGATGAAAAGGGGAGGGCACAGCAGCGAACAGTGGTTTTTTCCACTCACTCCCTCTGCCTGTGCTGAGGCCTGGGAGAGTCACAGCACAAGATTTTCTGTTACTCAGCTAGATATCCCTGTAGTGTTAGGCCTAAAGAGGACCTGGACTACATATAATCCTTTTAAAAAAGAGGTAATCATGTCTTTGCTCCTTTTGAAAGCAGGTCCATGTGCAACATTTGCACATCTACTAACTTAAACGTATCTTGAAACCAGGTCAAGATATATTTATCTCTTCTTGAAATTTGGCTCTTGAGCATGGACAGGGCAAAGGCAAAAGGAGTGTTCATCTTCATATATGACTAAACCTTTTTTTGAAAGAAAAGCTTCTTTTGAAAGTATTTTGAGAAGTCACCCTCAGTCTCAACTACAGGTCTTCCCAGCATAACAAGAAGGTCTCAGACATAAGATTTCTGCTGCATTTGTATTTAAACAGCAGACAAGATAAACAGCAGTGAGTAGCAGCAGCTAAGATACCAATGCCTTTTGCACTTGGCAGATGCCAGAAGGCGACTGGAACTGCAGTTCTCAAACTATGGTGAGGGCTCAGGAGTAAGCGATCACCCCAGGGCACCTCAAGGGAAGGTGCTGTTGTTCCAGCCCACATTGCCAGGACTGATGTCAGAGAAGCTGACATAGATTCTGGAAGGGAAACCAGGCACCATTAACAGCTGAGAGCAGAGTGCTGCAGGCTGGTCAGGGTGCTCCTGCGCCAGGACACGCCGCAGATCTCCCGGGGGCTTTATCATTCCCAGGCCTTACACTCCCTTCCTCCTGCCCCTTTTAATGCCCCATCTACTTGTGTTCTGGAGTTCCTAGTGATCAAGTTCTTCTCTCTGTACCAGGTCTTTTGCATGTGATATCTGTGGGTGCATACAGTGCCTGAACCATTTTAACCAAGGAATTCTGCAGCTTCAGCTCATGCAACAGCTCTTTTCTTTTTAGCTGGGGAGTTGCTCAGTTGACTTGGCATTTGATGTCTTCAATCAGCACATTAATGGAGAGCACCAAAGGACCAGCCTGGGATGAACAGTTTTAACAGGCTGTGGAAGTCATGTCAGACAAGTCGCTGTATGCGCTCGCCTGTCAGATGGTGTTTTCAGTTGTTTGCTCATCAGGTCACAAAGCAATTTGGAGTGGACCTTGTTCTCCTGCTCCCCTAACTTTCCAATGTAGAGAAAGCACATAGCACAAGGGTCTGTGGAGCCACCAAAGGACATCACCTGACCAGGAGAGAACTGTACTGCTAAATACTGTTGGAAGAAGAAAATGAATGTTATTTTCTTTGCTGTATTAAGAAAAGTTTTGAAAATCCAGCACAGCATTTATGTACCTAAACTGCAGTGAAAATAAATGCATGTTTTTGATATGCAAGGCTTTCATTTGTTGACATCTTACTGTCTAGATTTGCATTCTACTCCAAGATCCTCACTGCCATGTCAAAGGTCAGTACAAAGACTCGATAGTTTTTAGGCTTCCTAGTCCAGGTGCTCCAGGAGCTCAGTGACCTGGAGTAACTGCAGCACCTCCACGGAGCCACCAGGCTCCCCCTGCCTGTGTGGGAAGGTCAGGGGCGAGGGGGAGTGCAATGGTCCTGCTGCTGCATTTCGTTCCAGAGAGATTTTGCACCTCACTGGCTCCTGCTGCAGTCTTCCCTGCTGAGGTAAATGTGAACTGACACAGCAGAGGCCTAAATCAACATCCACCTCATTAAACAAATACAGCCTAATCCTGCTTTTGTTCTGGATATCAGGAAAAACAGAAGAAAGTATCTATGTTAATATTAATGACCAGCCCTCGATTTTCCCTGCTGCTAATACACAGTGTCAGATCCACACACTGGGGAATCTGGGGATCAGTTCCTCTGGCATTCATCTGCCTTCTGTGCTGTTCTTACCCACGTTCATTAGCAGCGCATCATTGGAACTCGGCAGCAATTCACCCTCTTGGTAAAACAAGCTAGCCTGGGTACCAGGAGTTGTCTGGGTAATTAGTCTTGGCCGTCATTTACAGTTTGTTTGGGTGTGAGGTGCATCAGACCACAGCAGTACAGGATAAGCCAAGGACATCCTGCTGAGGTACCACTTGCTTGGCCCTGTTCTCCCCTGTCTGGACACCATGTGCTCTTGACTTTATGATGCCAAATGTAGGTACATTCATGCCTTTAACTCCTACCCAGGAAGCAGGTTATCACTATTAAAAGAAAAATCAAGTTGAGGCATTAATCAGCATTATTTCTTCTTAGAGAAGTCTGAAAATATTTGGAACTGTTCTTCCAGTAGGAAAAAATCCTATTTGATTAAAAATCCTTATTTTTCCCAAATGGCACAGTTTCCTGTGAGAGGAAAGCTTTGCATTCCAGCCCACCCTAATCCTTTCCTTTTTTCTGTGTTATAACTAAGAGACTCTCCCTTTCCTATTGCCTCCTTTGTCACGAAGAGCTTGTATGTCCTCTTCAGAAAAATCTCTTTGTTATTCCCTGTATATTTGTAAGTCCCGTTACATAGCCCTTCCACACAGCTGCACAAACCTGTTCCAGCTGCATCCCAGCCCTGGCCTCTAGCTTTATATTCAGAAGCTGTTATGTAAGACACACCCCTTGCCCCCCCAACAGCAAGTACTTCTTTGCTAGACTGATAAAAATCAGCTTTTTTAAAGAGGGATAAAACCCATCAGTTTTATGTAAGAATTTAATGTGTTCAGGTGTCCCAGTGCTTCGAGAAAGTGCTCTGAGGGCTCCCCAGCAAGCCTTTCTGTAGGCACCAAAACCTCACTCTTTCCACAGTTTCAAAGCATCGCTCCCAAAGCAGAGTAAACATTTTCTGAAAATGGGCTGTGAATAGGCACAAAGGGTGCTTAAACAAGCAGCTACAGATCCACAGCCAATTCACTAAAGCTACTGCTGCTACAGCAACTGGGGTACAGTCATGTTATGAAGTTTACAGCTCTGTAGATAAGTTTTCTTTTGGTTTTTCATATTCTACAACCTTCAGGAAACAACTGATACAGTGACTAGTGACCAGTCAGTATTAAGAAAATAACAGCCTTATAAATCCTTATAAGACCCTCAATACCAGTATTTCAGGACTTCACCTCAGTAGCATACTGCCATATGTTTTGGCAGGTAAAACCCCTCCAGTTTGGTAGTGAAACCAGCAGGCAGCTCTTACTCTGGTATTTTGACTACAAATAGCAGGATACCACACATATATTTTTGCCAGATGTCCAAGCAAGCTGAATAAATAATTCTTGTACTTCACTGTAACCACTAGGCTACAGGGAGTTTGGTGGCAAATAGCAGGCACTTATTCAACAGGACTCAGCAAGGAAGTGGAGGCTGAGGTTTGCCTTTCACTCAGCCAGGTTCTTGAGAGGTATTCACAGGTATCTGTGGACACATCCACACCTACGTCCAGTGTCTTCGCATACAGATAACTACATGCAATATCATCCTCCACAAAGCTAGTTTGAATATTCCAGGGTTTTGAGACCTCAACAAAACTAAGTTACAGTGAACAAGTATTTGATATTCTCCCAGAGAGAAGACTGCAAATACTGGTGAGTCGTTAGCTATATTAGTTTATCAAGGCTATCACTCAGAAAGAGCTCATTGTATAGACACAGCTGGCTAAAGAAGGAAACATTTCAGCAAATGAACTTACCTGTGCTGGTTTGCCCAATGCTTTTGATAATTGTTGGGTGAGCTCCCCTGCAAAAGATTCTGGAACTTTATCCTTGCTTATATTTGTGTTAACAATGAATTTAGGCATCTTTGGATCATGAGTAGGGTTTTTTTCAGCTCACCTTGTTCTCAGCTTTATTTCTAACTCGCCCACAAGCTGGCCCAGCCCACTGTGCCAGTAAGCACCTCAGGAGCCTCTAAACAGTCAGTGGCACCTTCAGCAGGTGCATTGAGAGGGGTGGGAGTGTCCCAGGAGAGGTGAGGCTGAACGTGCCACCTGCAGGCTGCTAACACAGACAGCCAGTGCACTGGCCTGGGAGGGAGCCCAGCTTCTGCACTCTGGAAACCAAAGCATCCAAAATGACCCCTCGTGTTTGGATACAGCCCAGTCATTGAACCAGTGGAAAAGCAAGTGTTTCAGAGACTAGTGTAGGTTGTAATGCACCTCTTTATGCAAGTCTAGTAATTGTTTTTTAAAAATTAGATGAACTATTCAATTGTGAGGTCTGAAACTCTCTCTGTGGAATAGACCATAACAAAAACCCCCAGTGACACATGTTGTGCAGACCTTTCCTGAGCCGTGACTAAGTCACCACAAAGCTCCCTTAAAATCCATCTTGATTTTCCACTCTGGTGATGGATTCTACATGCTCAGAGAAGGCTTGTTTTCAACTTGCCCCTTTGTTGTGCAAATAGCTCCATAACAGTCATAACTCCTGAGAGATAGGAAATCCACAGGCTTTCTGACATGAGCTGCTTTTATCCAGACTGGAGGGAGTGTGTGGCAAGGCTGGGATCAGTTCTCCCTGCTGCCTAGAACAGCATTACATGGGAGAAGTGATTTAGAGGGATCATATGGCATTTGGGACGGGGTATTCACAGTGAGATGTGTGGGGAGAGCAGGCTGAAAATGCTGATGGGATAAAAGAAATGGTTTGACCATTTCTCCGTGTTAAAAGTGACGGGTGTTTTTGTGCCCAGTAGTTTCTGAGTTAAGAGATTTTCTACTCACTTTATTTTCTCCAGGCTTTCTATAGCTTGCACTAAATGATTGTATTAATGGTGTAATTTAAATAAGCACTTTTTAATTGTGAAAACTTCCGTATGAACGTGCTGAAGCTGATTGTGTTCAAGGTCAGGTTGACTGGCCCTGAGCAACCTGACCTAAATGGTAGCATCCCTGCAATGGCAGGGGGTGGAACTAGATTATCTTTAAGGTCCCTTCCAACCCAATCCATTCTATGATTGTGTGGGGTATGTTGATTTTAAATTAGTTCCTCCAATATAGCAGCTTTGCTGTAAAAAGTCAGCAAATAAAAAGTCAGGAGATGAAATTACCGTGTCAGCCCACATTTGTGGATTGTGTTTCCTGTATGCATTCTGAAAATAATGAAAACCCTAAAAAACCCCAGAAATAAAATCTGGTTTACAAAAAGCCTTTTCAGGGTATGTTTCCTAAGCCAAAGTGTTACAAACAAACACAAGTGGCACCTCCATCTGTAAGGAGAGGAGCTGTAGTTTGTAATATTGGTTCATATTTTCTTCAGTGGTTAGAGGAAAGCAGGTGGCATGATCCAAACTGTTTAGTTACAAGCCATCCTATACTTGTTACTGGTCACTTGGAAAAACTTAGACTATTTCCAATGAACTTCACAACCTATTTTTACTGCTGGGTACAATAATCAGTTGTTATTCCCAGCTTGCTTACATAGCAAGAAAAACATTTCCAAAACAAACTCTTTCTTCTGTGAAAACATCTGATGTAATTCCCAGAAGTTGATGCACCAGGTTGAAAATCAGTTCCTTAGACACCAGAGATGCTCTCCAGAGCCTGCTTTATTTTGTAGCAGCCATTTTACTTCTTCTGCATGCAAGAATATCTCAGTTTAGCAGGTCCTTCTCCCTGCCTAGAGTTACTAGGATGTTTTCCACTGAGATTTCCATTACATCTCCAGGACTGTTGTGCAGCAAACTTCACTTTCAATGCCTTTCTCTGTTGTCATGTTGAAACCTGTTTTCTGAATTTGAGGTGTTAAATTTTAGTCTGTATCATCTTGAGTCACCCTAAACCATGTATTTAGCTTTCCCTCTGCATGCCTGTCAGCCAAATTCTTTAGACTTCGGTGTTTCCCCAGCCTCATGGCTGTTGATCATTGAGCCTTCTTAATCATTCTTTACCTTGGTTCATCTGAAAATATTTCACGTGTTCTTTTGTATTTCTGATCCTCTTCTCTGAGCTGTTTGCCAGCAGGTTCCTGCTTATGAGGTACTTAGTGTCACTCTAGAATAATGAGTTTCATATCTATCTTAAAAAAGAAAAAACAAATGAGACAGAAATCTTGCAGTCTGTTTTTAATGTTTCCTTTTTAGTTCTATTGCAACATTATTTCCTGTCTTTTCTAAGAGATGCAAATTTCTTCTCTGAACGTTCAGAGCTTTGTGCAAGACAACTGTTCCTTAGGAAAGTTGTTTTCAGTGACAGAGGTTTCTTTTTTCCCAAAGTTCAGCTTGTTGAATTCTGCTTTTATTTCCATAATTGATTTTCCCTTGGTCTCAGGAAGATACAGGTAGATGAAAATTGCTGATAAAACAAGGATTCCCAAAAAGATAAGGAAGCAGAGCGGTCCAAGGTTATCCTGCAGGCAGAAATGCAAGGAAAATAAGAAACTCATTTCTATTTCCCTGCCCTTTAGTGCAAGCCTTTGTCTTAGAAGTTCAAATTCAAAGGTGTGCTCAATACACAGTCCAGGACAGGTACCAAACCAGGAATTCCCACGGGCCATGTTTGACCTGAGTCCAATTGCTGCTCCTTGACAAGCCTGGGGAATTTCTGAGCAGGTTTGGTGTTTGGACAGAGTGCTAAGCTTTGCATGCCATTGCAATTTATTGCTACTATTTTACCCCTCGTCAGCATTCAGAAATAGATTAGCCTGGAAAGAGGGATCCTCTGAGAGTCACTTACCACAATTACTGGAAAAATCATCCCAAGTACAAAGAGTCCCATCCAGTTGATGCAGCCAACAATCAGAAAGGCTGATGGTCTGTATGACTGGCTGAAGATTTCAACCATCACAGATATGGTGGCTCCAGCTGAAAAAGCAAAGCCAAACACACACCAGGTTTATTTGTTTCCTTGCTTCTGCTGAAGCTCCTCCAGTGGCAGTGGCAGAGAGGACAGACAGGCAGAACAGGTCACCTGTTGGTAGGTGGCCTCTGCTATGAGGGTGAAAGGCTTTGATTCCAGAAATGGAATCCAGCAGTTAAGTTAGGTTCCTCTTGGATGTACTGGAATAGTTTTTCTGGTATCAGTGGATCTGTGCAGTTCCATATTGCACTGGTAGTGGTTACTGGTGCAGGGTTTATAAAACCAGCCTCCCTTTTGGCTCCTGTGGCCACTTCCACCTGGAGCATATTGGTAGGCAAAAGCTTAATTTGTTAAGTTATTGAAGATGATTACTCTAACATACCTGGCAATGACTAGAATCCGGTTTTTAGCTGATTAATTTAGAAATTGTTTTGAATTTTCTGTGTCATGTCCTCTACTGTTTTAAATTATTTAGATCGTGCGATCAGCAATAAAATTTGAGGTGTCTGCATCCTTTCCCTGTCTCCCAGTTGTATGCATCTGCCCTTCCCTCCTTATTTTCCAGAACTTTTTAGCAAGGCACGAGCCTGTTCTTCCTCTGCCAGTTGTGTTGCCAACCAATTCAACACCAAATTTCCTCCCAGCATAACCACTGATGTACTCACAGGGTCCAATTCCAAAGAAGACAACGAACAGGAAGATCAAGATAACACTGAAGTAATGCATCCAGAAAAAGCGATGCTAAAAGTGAGAAACCAGTGACAGCAAATCATTAGACACAGGACAGAACAGCAGAGCTCTGTACTTCCTGCCACTGGCTGAAGGTTTTATACATCTCCTGCAAGTCAGGAGCAGAAAGGGGGGCTGGGGCTGGGGAATGGCCAGGAGGCTGCTGCCTCTACCTGCAGTGACAGGGTCATGGTGAGCAGTGCCAGCACAGAGCACATCAGCAGGTATCCACCCCAGAGCAGCACCTTCCTCCCAAAGCGGTCTATGAGGGTGCTCTGGAAAGCAGAAAACACAGCTCACAAACCCCAGGCCTCACAGGAAATCATTCCTCCTCTCTCCATGTGTTCTGTGCAGAAGATTTGTCTAAATAGTAGCCATAAATCAGTGTCATTTGACAGTCTCTTAGTTCCTAATGAATCTGGTTAGTTTTTTCAAAATTAATTAATTGTTAATTAAGCTGTGTTTATTATTCAATCCTAAGCTGTTTTTAGACTGTTCTCTCTTTTGCATGCTGGCATATGTCAAATTGTACACACATATGTACACACATCTAATCCAGAACATCAGAAGATTATTATTTTGCAGAAAAAAGCGAGTCTAAAGACACACACTCATGCAAATAATTTGGGGGAAAAACTTCTTTGTATCCTGCCTGTGGTTTTGCAGAAGCAGGAAGATGTGGCTGAGGTTATGCAAAGTTTCCCTGGGCCCAGTTATAAGAAAGGAAAGGCACAATTGTTGACCACATTAAATTTTTCCTTCAAACTCAAATCTGAAAGACTTACACACAGTATGGAGGACAAGCACTCACACAGCCCAACTCCCAGGGACACGTATGGGATAAGATATTCTTCAAACTTGGCTGTGTGGAATACTTCAAAAGAATAGAAGTATATCTGAAAAATGCAAAGAGGAAATTAACCTGTGAAAAAAGGTGTTGCATTTGAGATACAATTCTAACCTGGTTTGATAACATTGACTATGAGAGGTCTGTAATGCTGCCTCTCTTGTCCTGGAGATGAAGAGAGCACTCAACTGCATTTATCCCACAGAGCTGCAACGTGGTCATGACAATCACCAAAATGTAGAGCTGCCAGCGCAAGGATCGCTCTTTTATTACTTCAAGGACACGCAAGGTTTTCGTGCTCGCCATTGCACCCTTCTCCTTCATGATGTCATCAATTTCTGCTTGGTGGTCTCCTTCCCCCCAGAGCTTCCTGATGGCTGTAGGGGAGAAAGAGGGAAGTGGATTATCCTACCGGGATAGCTCCTTC